ATACAGTAAATGATGCTTGCTTTTAAATGTCCTTGATGCCTGGTTTGGCATGGGGAGTGAGATAGCAGCCAATCTGTTCTTAATTTTGACTATTTCTCGGTCTGACAATGTAGCAGTAAGAGCTGCTTATTAACAACAATATCTAAACAAGAAAATAAACAGGGAATGAAGTTTCATCTGTAATACTGACAGCAAAAGGTTGTGTTACAAAAGTCCCAATAAAAGAATAGCAGAAGTTTTGCTTTTCCATCTGCAATGCCAATTACCCTTTCCTCCTTTATTTAGCAACATTTGCAAATGGAGATCTGCAGCTTTTCAGTGGCTAGTGAGATATAAAATAAATGTTAACATGCTCAGAAAAGAAGTAAAAAAGGATTATTGACACGTCAGTGCAGTTTTTGACCAATCCCTGCTTGTTCAAAAATACTGAAATTATGTCAATTCTGTCATATAATGGATACAATAAAAACCAAGATGATTACACTAGAGAAACAAAGATACCTATTTAAATGTATTAATGCATTAAATGAAAGAAGTTTGACAGAAAACAAGCTGCTAATTAAAAATGACACTTGAAAAACAAATCAATATACCAAAGTAAAAAGTTTTTGAACTATATATATATATATATATATATATATATATATACTAAAAAGCACTAAAAGTTTTCCTGATTCAAACACAGAATGGAGATATGGATGATGTGGGAAACACAAAATCCAGAGATTTTCTGCTTATACTCCGTTCCAAAGACATACATTTGCTCAAGGTAAGTAAAAAGGATGACAGCATTCAACTGATGCTTAGAACCCTGCTGCCAAGGACTAAGTTGTGACACATCAGTAATTGTGTCTTTCTCCTTTTCAATCAAGGTATCTGCACACTCTTCTGGCCTTGACAGAAATAAATGCCATTTGAATTGTTAGGACTAGTAATCCAGATAATTTGTGTTCACCCTACATTTCAGAGGAAAATTATAACCTATGCAATAGTAGAGATACCCTTCTGCTCAAAACCATATCTCAAAATCAACATGTGCTGGTTACTTCCATAATCCTCCTGCTAYACAAGGAACTAGAGTCCCATGCAAACATTGTCCAAGCTCTGGTAGCTGAACTTATTTATTAACCAAARCAGCACATCGCTGGTTTTGACCACTGAACTACAAAAAGTTATATAAAATTGGAGATTATTTTAATATTGTTTAATCTTACATTTTTGCTTCAGTGACAGAAAAAAACTGTCATTCATTTGTGAAGGTTTTCTCATAGATTTTTGCTGTCTAAGATGAAATTCACAAATCTTACATGTTTTTGGTTGATTTTTGCACCTATATCTCATTTTTTGGTAATTATTGAGTAATATCTGCTGTCTGAAGAAGACTGATCTGTAACAGAGTAGGTCAAGCCTCAAGACACTTATAAATATTTGTCACTCAAATTTGTCCTATCATGCAGCATACTGGTAATATTACAATGTGGACAATAAAGTGGAMGAAATTGCTGCTTGTTCCTGCAATAAATCAGTTCTTGTTCTCTCTACCACAGGCCATTTAACATCAATTAATGGTTCTATCAATATTGACACCTATACTGTCATGTTTTAACCTGGAACTAGATGAYGGGGAGAGCGTATCATCCAGAAATACCCTGGATGCAAAACTTTGTGATGAATTTGCATTATGAATGAACGTGGAATATTAGTGTGTGCAGGTGTACATACTGTGCACACACACACAATTAGATTTGGATACTTCTATAAAAAGGATTTTAACACAAYCCTCTTCACATTGATTAATGTATCAAGGCAGTTGCTATGGTTTGCCCCTTTGCATGACTGCCTTTCTTGAGTAAAACCGCAAAAGGCAGAGATTTGAGTCCTGTCACCTGGTTTTTTCTTCCGCATGTATGCTAACCTAAAGCAAAGGGTTAATGAGGCTTTGAGAAATCATGCCACCTGCATAACTAAACATAATAAATAGGAGAAGTTCTTATCTTATAGAAACTGCTTTTGTGAAGGCTTTTAACCTCTTAATTACACTCTTGAAAAGACTCCTGCTGTTTCAAAGGCTTCAAGAAATAATTCCTATTGTAAATCAGAAACCAATGCAAAACAACCTTGTGAACAGAAAATTCCTAGACTATATGAAACAAGAAATTGAATCTGTGCACACCTTTATCTGACAGGCACAACCCCTTTTAAGCAAACAAAAGAATAATAGTTTTCTTTTCCTCAAAGAGGTCTCTTTTGCCAGTGATCATTTTTCAGGTGATAGTAGTTTTTCTGTACAAACCCGTATCATTCCATCTTGGGTCTGCTAGACAGCTGTCTGAAGGTTTCTACTGACCATTCCTATTCTCCCTCTGTTTTAATTCAGTCCTTTACACAGACTGCACAAACTCTGGTTAACTTCTTTAACTTCCTCACTCAAGGAAAAAAAAATATTTGCAACAAMGCCTGAGTGAGACTGTCATTTTGTTTAGAAACTGCACTGAAAATTCAACAATCTCCTTCAGAGCAACAAAGGAACTCTTGTTGGCTTGGCTTATCATGTTTTGGTCCAGAATGTGTATAGAGTGATGTGATCTCAGTAAGATTTTTTTGTTTGYTTAGCAGAAAGAAAACCTAATATAGTCACTAGACCAGCATTTTCTCATGACTTTTTCAAAGATCAAAGGAAAGAGCTGTAACCTCAAAAGTATATGGCTGAGATATTTCTGTCTGGTCTGGTCAATAAAGAAAAAAGGCACTGACCAAATAACAATTATAAGATAATTAATTCTTAGGGCTGTTTCACCTTTAGAAACCTTAACAAATGCTTTGTATATTAAAGAGGTAAATGCAGTTCAAGACGGACATAAGAACATGGGAGCTATTACAGTATAATGTGTGTCTGTGTAGTGCTAAGTTATACACAGATTGCATAATTTCTCTGAAAATAAATTCATTCCTTTAATTCTGGTCTTTAGATTTTGGCTGAATAAGATGTATGCAAAATATGTTAACCTTCTGGTAGAACTTCTTTACCTACACAAAGGAAAAAAGCATGTTCAACATAGTACATTTCTCAACTGACACATCATAACTCTGACCAGATCAGTACAGATGCTCTATCCTTGCCATTGTTAGACTTTACCTGTGATGTTGATGCTCAGTGCACATTGTACCAACATTTCCTGTGAAAGCTGTTTGAAATTCCAGACTTAATTCCCTATTTGGATCTTGCAACGTATTAGGAAAATGATTTTGAAAGTTATTCTGTGACAATATAAGGTGGAAAACTGAAGCATAGACAGGAGTCAGCTGACATTTTCCTCTGACCAAAGAACTGCTTCTCTGTTTTCAATCATCTAGATATTTAATGCTACAGATTCAAAATCAGTAGATCCATTAGAAAATTTGGGTTTTTTTTTTTGTATCAGGTGACAATACAGTTTTTTTGATAATTCAGAATCTAACTCAATTTACTGCATCCTGTGTTTAGACAGCAAGAATGTCTTTGTGGTTTCAAAATATGAATTGCAAGTGCAGCAGAAGAAACTCCTGGTACCAAATTGCCTGAACAAGAACATGRCAGATGAAGTTTAGTATAGCTAGGGGTCAAGAGAGGCACTTAGAAAAAAGGCAATTCAGACTTCACAGGACAAGTTCTTGAGTAGCTACTAACATGCTAGAAAGAGGTCCTGCAGTTGCAATAAGTATTAAAATAACAGCTCAGCATTCAGTAAAGGTTAAAAAAATTAAATAAAACAAAGTTTTGTGTTAGCAGGAAAGCAAACAAAAAAGCACCTGCTTTTTTCCGCTATAAATCCAAAGTGTGCAAGCACTTTAAACATGCTGTGCAGGGTTTATCCCTCCTTCACTCATCTCAGATCAAATACATGAGAATTGAAAAAAGTTCAGTAACATGACAAGATTGACCAGAGGAATGGAATAGCTTCCACATGAGAAACAATCCTAACAGGCTACATCTGAAAAATTGACTAATGGAGATACAGGAGAGGTATATAAATCTGGTGCACATCAATATAGAACTGCTGCTTCCACTTTCTCCTGGGGCTGCAGAGAACATAAAATGCAGTGAGAAGTTCCAAGGAAATATCAGGAGGTACCTCACCRTGCTACACAGGCTGGTGGATCAGCAGACATGCTGCCACAAAAAATCATGAGTGTTTCACTGGCTCAAAATGCAATTGTACAAACTCATAGAAGAAAACCCTTTAGCTATCAAAKCCACAAGAGACTCAGTGAGTCCTTGAGTGCAAATCTCTGGCAGATGGAACAGTTTACCAAAGCAGTATTAAACTCTTTGCTCGACCTTCTAGTTTTCCTTTGGCATCTGTTGCTGCTGGCTGGATGCTGGGCTAGGACAGTTTTTAACACAACCTGGTGCAACCATTCTTATGGGGCAGCAGCACACCAAAATAATTTCATTCATACCACGAAGCAGCCAATCTTCACTCTTGCTCTAGCAGTTCTGGCAGGAGTTCTGTTAAAAGTGAAGCACGTGGACTGAGTCAGCATGGACAGTCAAGAACTATAAATAGAGACCTGCCTGAAGCACAGAATATAATGAAGCATCTTCTAGTGCACTTTGTTACATGAGTTATTACTGTTTTCCATACTGCTTAAAAAGAAAAAAATTATACAAATGAAAAAAAGAGGGGAGTAATTTGTGATTCCTTGTCTTCCCTGGCAAAGAATACTAACAAGAAACCATGCTCTTGACAGAGAGCATTACAGACCAAGGAGCAGCTTCTCAGAAGTTGAACCAGTCTACAACACTGCAAAGAAGTTGTCAGTGTCATGAAATTAGTGGAATGAAATCAGTCACTTTTGATGTTTAATTGAGAGTACAATTCTCTTGAAAAGCAGCTCAAGGAGAATTAAAAGAACAATCTGATTCAGCACATTACGAAGTGACATTAAAAGGTAATTATTAGGTAATCATGTATTACTGTTCATGCAAGGTTGCATATTGATTAATCAGGTATACTCACAGAGACTGCAGGCTGCGCAGGTTCTGGAGTGCTTCGGTAGGAACCTGGCGAAGCTGGTTATTCTGCAGCATCCTACATTTTGAGTAGCACAAAAATCAGAATCAACACAGTAAAAATAATTTCTTTCTATTGCAAATTTTCTTCCAAGCTTACCTTCTTTGTACTGGTTCTACTTCAAGATTACAAAGGAAGGAAAGTTACACAAACACTCTGTTCCCCTGCCCCTGTCARAAGCCCACTGTCTTCAAAGCAAACAAATATCTGTAGCATATCAGCTTTGTTAACCGCTAGAAATCAGCTTTGAGCAGGATTTTCAAAGCAGCTAAGGAAGTTAAAAGAATAAATCCGATTTGCTTTCAACAGGGCTTATAACCTCTTAATTGCCTGCAGTGGTACCGAAATTTCTCATGTACTGATTTTGTTTTCCTTCTGAAGTGATTCTATTCTGATAAGGCTGTGAAGGACTCACTCCTGAAATCCTTACACAGGAAAATGCAACAATAGCAAATATAACTTTTAACTGTATAAAATTTTATCTCTAGAAATAAACTGCTATTTTTTTAATGAAATTGATTTTCTCAAATTGAAAGTTGCTAGCAATCATCTGATAAAACTTTTTTTTTCCAAAATATCACATCATTTAGCTTGCAAAGATCGAAAAATCACTTTCCATTCCTGAAGAATACTTCCCACCTTTTGAATATGGTTTCATTCATACAACCTAACATCCTTGTTTGGATCAGCTCCTACACATGTAAATATTCCACGCGGATAAATCTGAAGTATGCACGTTGCCTTCAAAAGGAGGCATATTCAATGAGACAGTGTAAATTAAATATTTTCTGGCAGGCCTAAATCTTCTTAGGCCAACAAGAGCAGGAGCTCACCAACTTCAAAGCAGATGGAGTGGGAATCTCTTCATACTTTTTTTCAGCCGAGTATTTTTTCAGTAGAGATTTGTACAGTAGCATCAGGCCTGGCTTGGAGGTGTTCTTGCTAATAATATGTTAATAATAATCTTGCTAATAATAAAGTTTTTGTGAACTTCACATTGGTAAAGATCCCCTCTAGTGTAAACACTGTGAGATGTAGCCTGCAAATAACTTTAGTAACTATATGCACTGTCTTATTACTCCAAGTAATACAGGGTTTTGTAAYATTTTATTGTAATAATTTTTATGTTTTATCTGATAGTCAGTATATTGTAAAGAACAAGATATGAAATATGARCTGTGTTTTAAATTACATGTTGAGTGCAATAATGCTTTTTCTTCCATGTCTCTCATGAAAAGGAAAAGCCAATTTACCCCCAGCTTTGTGTGATCATGAAAAGTTCCACTGAAATCAGAACTTTTCAGATAATTAAAGAAGCTATTAATGGAACCAGTTTTTACCTTTGATATTGTACAGAGACATCTACTTGATGAGCAAGTTGTTTTTAGAATGCCATAAATGTTTTCCAACTTTTGTTTAGGATATTTTCTATGTGAAAAACCAAAGATTTAATGATGTTCATATGTATCTTCAATTGAATTGTTCAAAATGAGCTGATCAAAATATGTAATTTACTTGATCAAAACTTCAGTGGTTAATTAGTTCCCTAGAGCATTTAGGAAATCAGAAATGTATCAAACAACACACAGTTTACTTACAGCACTTTAAGACTGAAAAGGCCAGCAAATGCTCCCTTAGGAATGTATGTCAAGCCATTTCCTGCAAGACGTCTGCAAAGTTTGAAAAAGGAAAAGAGTGAATACTTTTTCTCTTCATGTGGAATTAATTTGGTTGCTAAAAAGTGCAACACAGCTATGTTTGAACAACTGATGCCAGAGGCAGCAGTTTAAGAGCCTAGTTTTGTCATTAATACATGTTTAAACGCAAAAAAAAAGAAGCCTGTAACAGTACAGTTGATCCACTGACAGCTGGACTGTAGAGAAAAAAAATCAATTTTATTGCAAATTTGGCTTATTTAGAAGGTACATTGAATTCTTCATATTGTTTTTAGGGATTAGAACAATCCCGGCAACTAAACTACAGAAATACGGATAACCATTAGTATCATTGCACTTACAGGCATGCACTTTTGGAATTGTCCACCTATGATGTCTGTGAACATTTAACTTATTTGCACTAATATAAAAAATATATCCACATTGTAATGATTACACTTCATTTTGAAGTAACTGCACGTAAAACTGCAGCACTGGTGCAATAACAGTTTTCCCTGTGAGCAGATGTGTAACAGGCTGGCAAAAAATGAATTAGTTAAAATTTGTAAGGCTTTTTCCCCTTCTCTTGCATCTTGCTCTCAGATTGTCTGAGGTATTTTACAGACCTAGGAAAGTACACCAAATATCTCCGTAATGCATGTTATTCTGACCAAAAAAAGATAACTGCATCATTCTGTAAGGTATCTCTATCTGTGCATCTGTCTAGGACAGAAGATCTATTTGATACGAAATAATGGCATTTCCATATTCCCCATCACTGTAGCTCCAGAGGAACCTGGAAATGCTCAAGGCCAGGTTGGATGGGGCTTTGAGCAACCTGATATAGTGGAAGTTGTCCCTGCCCATGGCAGAGGATTGGAATTAGATGGTCTTTAAAGTCCCTTCCAACCCATCCATTCTATGATTTTGCATTTATCCATTGACATCACAATCCAGCCTGAATTTGCTGTGATACATGGAACACTGGTTGGTAAGGGACAGCTTCCCAGTCAAGTTACATTGAGTCAGTAGGGCCAGTGTCTGCTCCTAGCAGTCAAAAACCCACCAACTACTCTGATGTAACCCCCTTTGCAGACCAAGTTAAGGCAAGTGGAATTGCTCGTCCCCATCAGCCAAGATACTGCACTCCAGAGCTGCAGAGCCCACAGCCCAGCTGATCTGATCACAGAGCTGACATTTGATTTGGCCTCTGGCCCCTTAGGAAAGAACACAGGATTAGCTCCACGAGATTCCTTAGGTACCAAGCTGTCAGAGAGGAACATACAGGATAGAAATAGGCACCAGATTTGCCAATTCTGTTCATGGAAAAGACCCAGTACTTTTGACTGGAGTCCTAAAGATACAGCACTGACTCGCCCTTAAGTGTCGTCTTCTTCTGGGACTGAGCTTTCCCTGAGCTAACTACAGGGTCCTGCACACACCTTGTTTGTAGTCATCGCTGTCATACAGAAAAAAGAAGGCTGTAAATTAAAAAAAAAAAAAAAAAAAAAAAAAAAAAAAAAAAAAAAAAAAAAAAGAACAGAAAAAGGAAACGTGACTCTAGATCCTAGTTCCAAAGACTTTTCAGGACTTTTCAGTTAGAACAAAAGATTCTTTCCTGTGTAGACATCCCTGCTGAGCTACATAACCTGTAATGCTGAGCCACGTCTCTCTGCTACATGAATGAAATTGTGCTCTGCAATGACATTCAGCTCCAGACAGAGCTGCTGGGTTTGTGTCTCACTTTGGAGCCTTCTGGAGTCTGATCTCCAGACATCTGAGAATAGGGCATGTGCAGCTGAATTCCTGCAGGGAGATGAGCAAACCAAACCTGGTTCACTCTTGATCCAGGACGAGGCACTCCCAGGCTCAATGTGAGGGCCTTTTTTCAGATGTGAGGGCCTTCTGTGAGCTTCAGCTTTCATTCTGAACATAAAGGGCAAGGACTTCTGGGTTGTTACTGGATCAAGCAGGTGTGTGCTAGATTAGGTGCAATAGATTGTATTCCTGAAAGTAAATGTCTTTTGTGGGTCAGTAACCAGGAGAGACTGAGGACCTATCTAATTCTGATTTCAGTTTTCATGATATAATTWTTTTAAAGAAAACCTAAAGACTGCTTCACCCCCACAGCACCCTTTTGCTCTGCCATTTTAATGACACATGGTTGGAGACAATTCTGGATGTGAGCTTGGCATGAACCAGAAAGTGATGAGTTTGCAAAACCTTACTGGGAAAAAAAGAGGTGCAGGTATTGAGATTTTCACTTCTGTTACTGCTGTGAGTGCCATATAGAAAACTTGATAAAGAGCAGAGACTTAAACCCACATGCCTGAAGACTCAAGCRCGTGCTCCTTCGGGCTGCCATCCCTTCTTCATCCATTATTGGGGCAACGCAACCTGCCGAACATACATGTTAATAGCCCCTTTTTGAACTGCAACACTCTTCATGAAGTGGGCTAGCTGAGACAATCAGACCTATTTAAGAGCTCCAGGGGGGTGAAGGGCTGTGGCAATTACAAAGCATGCACCACTCGGCTGCAGATAATTTTGGCTCTCTTATTGTTTGGAATTTTTTGAAAATGTACAGCCATGTTCCTGAGCTGTTCTGAATGGTAGCTACCTAAACTGTTAAAAAAAAAATGTAGTTTTTAATTCTTAGGGTTTTTTTTTTCAGATTTCAACACTTTAAAAACATTTTTGCTTATTTTCCTTTTGGATCACAACTTCGTGATTATTAAAAATGTCTTGTATCAACACTTTCGATAGATGCAGAAACAACATGTTAAACTTTTTGGTGGGAAAAACTTCTGTATTTACTCAYAAGTTTTTTTTTTCAACCTTGGGTCATTCTTGAAGTTCTGCTTTGACTATTTTTCAATTTGGAAAGAGCTCTCAATGATTTCACAGACAGTGCTTAGAACTATCTTCTATGATATTCCTCTGCTGATGGAGCAGCAGATCATACTCTTTGTGTACAGTCCTACATATTTCAGCAAAGGGCTACCTCTATATGCATTATACTCTATACAATTCAAATGCCAATACACATGTATGTCCTTGTGGTTCTCTCACCGAGCAAATTGACAGCGTCAGAAAAGTCAGACGTCTGGCAACAATTATTTTTGATGTAATGATGTTGCCTGACCTTCTTTACCATTCTAAATTCTTTCTCAATGTGCACTTTTTACCATTTTCTGTGGAACAAGCTCTGGAAAAGCATCTACCTATTCCCAAGATGCTCTATGAAACCACTTATGGCACAACAGTAGCATCTTCCCAGCCCACTAGAATTCCCTGGCACTGCAGTATTTGGTAAAAATAGCAAAAATTATTCATTTGGATCGTTGTCTGATTATTTTAAAATTCTTGGATAAAAGTAAGCACGTTAGTTCCTTAAAGCATGCTGCAAAGATCATGAAATTCAGGTTACTTATTCCCAATAATTTTTAATGTCTTCACTGCAGTGTTTTCTTGCTATTACTGTGTTTCTGTGCTCAGCCTCAGTATAGGGGAAAATTAATCCYGTTGTTGACACTACAGTATGTATCAAGTATCTACCAGGGTTCACTCTTCCCACTCATGGATTTTGCTTTCCATTACCCTAAATTATTTGAGGGAAGCTGCCCAGTATTTTACTGAATTTTGATGTACTTTGGATAGTAATTTTAGTCTGAGTGAATAATGGACACAATACCTGTCTCTATAGCTGAGTATTTAGTTAATGATTTCTGAGAGCAGGAATGAAATAACTCGTTTATAGCACTTACATAATGGTTCACTTTTACAAGATCTGACCATAGATTGTTCGAACAATCTTGAATTTCTGTTTTAAAAAGTTCTTTTATTTTAAGCATTTCTGACATTATTTTAAAAATCTCTCATATTTGCAATATCTCGTTATATGCATCACATATCTCTAATGAAAAAGTAATTATAAAGATCATATTTTTGCACTATATTACTTTAGATTTAGATTTTACTTACACTACTTTGAATAATCTTGCAAATTGATGGAGGCTGAAAAAGTTTACAGAGAAGTGCCTCCACACATCTCCTTGAGCACTTGTTACTTGCTATGCTTGGTGTCAGGATACTTTTGGCTTTGGCATATTTATACCACTGGAGATTTCCTTCTGAAAGATGTAGAATAAATGAGCTGACAGGAAAGCAAATGACCTCCTTACTTTTAAATGACAGCAATTTATAAAATATCTTTCAATTATATTAAACCCCACCGGCAATCACTGCTCACTGTTGGAATGTTGTAGTGCTGCAGGTCAGGTTTATGGCTATGGTCAGATCTAAGAAAAGGTGTGTCTGGGTTCTCCTTTAAGTGCTCCCCACCTCTTGACCCCTTTGACATATTCTGACCTCTATGCAGTGCCATAGTTAGGAGAAAATGATGGTCACCCAGTCAAAAAGAACACTCCCATACAAGTGAATTAAAGCTCCAAAAATTATCAGAAACTTTTTTCCTGTTTTCCTTTGATTGTCTGAAAAGGAAAACTTCTTTCCTGAGAAAGATGCAAATAAATAAATGAGTTGTGACTGAGAACAGTCAACTGTTTCCTTTACCTTTCCAGTAAAATAATTTTTCTTTGCCRGCTCAAAATGGCTTTTCGTGTGGATGTTTTCTGCATCAGGACAAAGCTTACCTGAGGCCAAGCACCTACTCTATACCTGCTGGGGTGGAARGTGAACTTGAAACACTAGAAAGTCTTCTCTCTACAGATAAAAACCAGAAAAAGAAAACACATTTCCACTAACTAGGTAGAAAGAACCCGTGGAAAATCTAACTCAGCTACTTCTCAGTCTGCAGCAGACGGTGACAGTACAATATGGGTAGTGGCTGCTTTYCTTCTCTGCTTGAGGAAGATGTAGTCCAGCAAATGCTGACCAAGTATCTGTGAAGTGTACTTCCAAACCTAGTRGTATGAAACCTAAAGGAAGGACATGGAAGGGAGGTAGTTGTCTCCTTGGGAAAAAGCACATGTTTACATTGACCAATATCCATG